TAAAGTAGAGGCAATAGATAAAAAGAAATGTGGAATGTGGGAAATGACAGCAGGATTTCAGGAGGAGCTTAAGCTTTTATGTGCAAGGGATACATCAGGTAACAAGGACTTTCACGAAGTTGGAAAGAGTACTATTAGAGCTAAAGTTAGTGAATTTAATTATAATGAGCCTATTCCATTGAGCAACAAATTTCAGCCCTTGGCTTCTGCAGACGAGGAATTTTTGGAGGGAAGGAAAAGAAAAATGTCAGAGAAGGATGTGGATGATAAGGAGGTTATAGGTGATTCCTCGGCAAGGCATGTGGATAGGTTAGGTTGTGGGGTAAATCAGGAGGAAAGAATAAGTTTATGCTACCCAGGGGCACAGGTGGAAGATATAACTGACAGAGTAGGAGATAAAATAATCAGTGGTAGCAGATATGGAGTTTTTGTAGTGAATGTAGGGGTTAATGATGTAGGGAAAGGTAGGCCATTAATAATTACAAAGGGTTGATAAATGCATTTAAAGAAAAGTCCATAACTTAATTCTGTCAGGGATATTGTCCAGAATTAGCTGTGGGGATGAAGTTATAAGTAGGTCACTAGGGCTAAATGTTAGGCTTAGGTTAGTATGTAAGGATGAACAGATTGATTGGTTGGACTTGTGGGATCAGTTCAGTGGAAGAAGGGAACTTTTTTGGAATGGATGTTTTACATTTAAGTAAAATAGAGCCTGGCTTGTTTGCTATGGCTATTAACTCAGCTGTAAGGGAAGTTATAAACTACAACTATATAGTGGTGAGGGCCTAGAATAAACTAAATGGAAAAAGAATAAGAAACAGAGAAAAGATTAGCATAGGAAATGAGCATAGAAGTAATTATAAGCATAGGCTTAATTGCTACTATTGTAATGCTAGAAGTATAAGAAATAAAATAGATGACTGTAGAGCACTGGTAGGATTTTGATATAATGGGAATAACTGAAACATGGTTAAACGTAGACGATTTTTATGACAGAAATTTCTTTGAAATACAGGGTTATAGGTTATTTAATAGGGACAGAGTACTAAAGAGGGGAGTGGCTTTATATGTACAATGAGTTACATTCTGTTGAAGTTGAGGATATCAAAGATAATTGCAAGGATATTGAATACTTTTGGTTTTCTATTAGTGGATAGATATGGAAAAGGCTTTTAGTGGGAATTTTTTACAGAACACGAAATGATACTGATGAAATTAATGAGAAACTTTAAAAAGAGATTAAGATTTCAGCTGTTAATGAAGTCATAATTATGGGTGATATTAATTTCAGGCATATAGATTGGAAAGTGGTAGAGTCAAACCATAAGGGAGAAACGTTTTTGGAAACTGTTCAAGATGACTTTCTTCACCAATTAGTCAAGGAACCTACTAGAAATAATGTTATTTTAGATTTATTGAGAACTTCTAATATAGAAATTGTTGAGAGGTGTAAATTGCGGAACATCTGGGTGCAAGTGATCATTGCTCTATTAGGTTTGATGTTTTGCTGCATATAGAGATAATAAATAAGGATATTTTGGTTAACATTTTAAAAAAGCAAATTTTGAAGGGATGCAACAAGAATTATCGGTTGTGAATTGGACAGCTGAGTTATTTGGAGACACTGATCACATGTGGAAAAGTTTTAAACATTCAAGGTAAACATATTTCTTATAGAAAGAAAATGGTAGCTGCAACTAAAAAACCAGATTGGCTGATAAAGAGTTTAAAAGATAAAAATTAAAGAAGAGCATCACAAATTTGAAAAAATTAATATGACTAGTATGACAGGAGATTTAGAAGATCAAGAAAGTTGGTGAAACAGGAAATTAGGAAATCGAAAGGGATGTATGAGAAAAGACTAGCTGAACATGTAAAAATTAATAGTAAGGATTTCTTTAAATACATTAAGAGTAAACAAAATGTTAGGATGGGGGTAGGACCCTTGAGCGATGATAAAGTATGGCTTTCATATGATGATTATGAGATGACTGGGTTATTAAACTTTGCTTTTTCTTCAGTTTTTACTAATGCAGATTTATGCAGTATTCCACATCTTGAACAGTTGATAAATAGAAACAGGATCGAACAAGATGACTGCATTAATTCTGAGCTGGTTATAAAAAAAACTGAGAAGTTTAAAGAACCAGATAATATTTCCCCAAGATTCTGAAGGAGGTTAAATATTTTTGTCAGTCCTTGAATAGTGGGCAGGTATCCTAGGATTGGAAGTTAGCTAATGTAACTCCTCTTTTCAAGAGAGGGGTTAAAATTGTCCTAGTAATTATAGACCCATTAGTCTTATATCAGTTGTGGGGAAAGTATTGAATGTCTGATAAAAGATGCTTTGCAAAAGCACTTAACAATGTTTAGAATTTTATTGGACAGTCAACATGGTTTCACTAAGGGAAATCTTGCCTTACTAATCTTTTGACATTCTTTGAAATGGTTACTGCATGTGTAGATGAAGGTAAGAGTGTAGATATGGTATATCTGGATTTTTAGAAAGCCTTTGATAATGTGCCACATAAAAGGCTTGTAAAAAATTATTTCTATAGATGTGGGGGATAAGTTAGCTAATTGGATAGAAGAGTGGATGGATGGAAGAAAGCAGAGAGTTGTTACAAATGGAGTTTAGTCAAACTGAATTAATGTCATGATACCTCAGGGCTCAATTTTAACACATTTTTCTCTTTTTATTTACATCAGTGATATAGATGACGAATGGTCAATAAATGACTTAAATTTTCTGATGATATTAAGGTGTTGCTAGCTGTGAAGAGGATGCTGCTGATTTACCAAAGAATTTAGATCATTTAATGAATTAAGTAAATAAATGGCAAATGGATTTTAATCATAATAAATGCAACATAATGCATGTGGGTTATCATAATTTGAAATATAAGTATAGTTTGGACGGGAATAACCTTAACAGTGTCATAAAAGAAAAGGGATCTCATGTCATAGTTGATCAGTTTCTAAAGCCATCCATGCAGTGTGCTGTTGCTAGTGGTAGGGCAAATAGGATTTTAGGTTGTATCTATAGAAATGTTGAATACAAGTCTAAAGAGGTTATAATTTCATTGTATAGGTCACTGGTTAGGCCAAATTTGGAATATTGTGTTCAGTCTTGTGCTCCTTGCTATAGGAAAGACATCAAATTGTTGGAAAGGGTTCAGAGAAGGTTTACAAGAATGGTGCCTGTGATGGAGGGGTTGTTATACGAGAAAAGGTTGAATTGTAAATGAAATTGATAGTGTTGAGGTATCTTTTTTTTCATATTTAAAAGTGAGAATAGTAGGACTATGGGACATAAATATACATTTCGGCAGGGTTGGAGTTATCTTCAGTTAAGACCTTTGGAATGGGTTGATTTCAGATGTTGTGAAGGCAGTAAATTTAAATGAGGTTTCGAGAAAGCTTGATAAGTGTATGAATGATAAGTGCTGGCTTGAATATTTTGTTTTATTGTTTTTCAATTTATTTATTAATAGTTTTAGTTTACTTTAGAGAATGGAACAGCCGAGATGGACCAATAGGTCCCATGTTGTTCCAAAATGTTATTTGTTGAGATGGATTATAATGGCATGTTGTTTTAATATAATATATTCATCCTCTCTTTATGCATTTAATCTGAAATACTTTAAACATTCTAATCTTATATTTTCTATTTGCTCTTGTCCAGGATTACTGGACAAATAATGAATTAAATGATAGATTGGATTTTATATTTCTCTTGTAATTTTCTTTGATAGCTATTTTCTAAACAGCTGGAAAAAAATATATTTTTTAGTGATTGGTGATATTGTTAGTTAATACTGATAGCTATGCTAATGATTTCAACACACTACTCCAAGTTCTGCAGTAAATGGTATTTCTCTGTCAGTTTTTATATTTTACTCCATACTTATGTGAAGCAGTGCAGAGTTCTGAAATAACCATAATAATAAAAAAATACTATGTATTTCAAACAAAATTATTGGCAAATTATGTTTTACAAACTAAACTAATGTTATGAAAACTATTAGAAAACCAAAACGTCATTTTGTGCACATATTTGTTATATTTCTATTATGTAGACATTACTCTGTAATTATTCACAAGTAGATGTTGTTGTTTGTTATTAAGCACAAAGCTACATAAAGGGCTATCTGTACTCTGCCCACCACGGGTATCGAAACCCAGTTTTTAGCGGTATAAGTCCGCAGACATACTGCTGTTCCACTTGGGGGCTCACAAGTAGAAGGAATGATTCAATAACAACTTGAAATTTATGGTTTATTCAAATATTCTGCATATAATATTTATTTTTCCTATACTTTCTGAATAATGTTTAACATTTAATTAGTAATGTTGTTTCTAAGGGACAATTTTATATTAGTGTAGAAACATATTGTTGGAACGTGTGCTACTGATGAGTGGTTTATTTTGGATTATTTTATAAAAATAGTGCCAACGCCAGTCAATGATATTTGTTACACATAACGTTACTTGTAAACTTAAAATCAAATACAACGGTTTAAGTAACATTCAACAGATATTCAAAGACTAAATGACTTATAAACTTTCCTTGCAAAGTTTATCGATTGGTAAACAAACAACTTACCGAAGAGACGCAATAACTCTTCTTATTAACCCCAATATTAATCACTCGTTAACTCACTGCTTCCCTGTATCATTGGCTAACTTACTTATTCACGTATTTATATTCTACTCTTGTTTTTACATACTGCACATAATTTACAGACTCTATACAGGCCTTAACTTTCATGAATTTTCCAGATATTATCATGCACTCTTTAGCAAACAAACATTTATATTAAAATACTAAAAGCATAGTATACTTGATATGATATGATTACGACATAGAACATGTATAAACATTCTCAGAGCTGTTGGAAGTCCTACCTTTAAAAACACTACCAATTGTACAATGCCTTATATACAAAATGAATAAAAAAAATTCCTACAAGCTAATCTGAAGTATGTAGCTAACTTACTGCAGTATGGCTTGGTGGGGGCCGTCTTAAAGAAAAACTTTTTTCCTTTTTTGTCATTCTTGAATTCTCGAAAGGTCTCAGCTTGTGGTCCAACCATGATGCACTTTTGGCCTGTGTCTCCACAGTCTGAACATTCACCATCCGAATACTTTTTCCAGCTTTCACAAGCGACACCTACTGGTGTACATTTTTCATTATCCATAGCTTCAATGTAATAGTCGATGGATCTCAGATGGTCACAAGCAAAAAGGCGTCTCACGCCTAGAAGTAAAAAATAAATTCCGATCATATTACGAAATAACTTATTTCTGTAAAATTTAAAATGCATTTATATTCCACACTTCAAACTCACTACTCTGACAAATGGGAACATTGAACAATTCCAACACTAATTGAGAACAAAACATGGTTAAGCTACTTCTGATAAAGATCCATAAAGCACTTTTCCTTTGTTTCAGCTACTAATATAAAAGTTTAGAAATCACTTTTGTTTTTTCTGACAGTTACCATAAAATGTTTACCAAGTGGATTTTCCTGTGTTTTACCCATTGCCATAAAACGGTAAGAAAGCAGTTTTCCTTTGTTCGAATTACTACTACAAGATTAGTAAAAAATGTTAATTTAAAAAGGGAGAATATAGATCGTTAAAAAGTACAGAAAAAAGTTAAATCAAAATGCAAAGATTATATTTTCAAGCCTACAACTGGGGACTCTACGAAAGTAAATAAACAATTTATATTATTTTCTCAAGCTACAAATCTCTATTTTGACTCTATGTTTTACACTTGTTATCAATTTTGTTGATTCCGATTCCCACCTTGATGAATTAAAAGGTTTTACTAATCTTGTTTCTTAACTTTTTTATGTCCATTGATGTGGAATAAATTGAATGTTAAATGTTCTTCAACAATTTACTCCTGCATTGGCTTTTTTTTTGTCATTCAGCCACCACACTTTACTCATTCAAAATAACAACAAAGAAAAAACGCATACACTGGTATGCAAATACGAGAAACAAAATGCAAAGGAACTTTTTTGAAGGCAAATGTTTTATCATTACGGATTTAATGACTGGCTTCCACGAATGTGACAGTGTAATGTAACAAAAGACGAGCAGCACATTTTACCTGGCAGTTTCCAATTAATGTACAACAAAACACACGAGTTGTAATTTCCAACAAATGGGCACTCTAGGAAAACACCAGAGTTTTTGATGGCAGGAAGTGAAAGACTTAGAAAATGTCGCAGCACGACAAAATTAAGAAGGTCGAAGTAAGTTTAAAACTACTCTCTCAGTTGTGTTTTTAAAATTCCTGTGCGATCTCACACTAAAGTAGATATCAATTGCAATAATTTTATAGTGGACTCATAATAATAATAGTTATAATAATAGTCCATAATAGTGATTTGTAGCTTGAGCAAACTGTCAGTAGTAGATATCCAGCCTTGTCTGTTTACTTTTTGCAATTTCATTTGTAGATTTTAAATTCTCATTTACATTATATATTGTTTTTTAAATTCACAACAAAGGGCAAATATATATCTAGAACAAGGCACAACCCTACTAAGCACATATAAAATTTTACAAGTAAAAAAGCAGTCTCTCCAATTAAAACAAATATGTTTAAAACATCACTTCAAATAAAGCTTCATGTCTTTTAAAGTAATTATTTACTGAGTCAGGTGGGTTTGAGACTGAGCTTTCGTGCAAACACGCGTTTAAAACACGTTATGTATTTATAATCACGTAAATCATCTTTCAATGAAAAATAATCAACTTTTAAATAGGACATGGGCATTCGCAGTTTTCCAAATAGTATATCTGTTTAGGTTTTGGTGCAAAATACGCAGCCGAGTTTGCTGTAGGCTTTTGAAACAATAATATGAACAAATAAACAAATTTTGATTTGGTCTAACAATCATGAAATCACTTATTTTGCTTATTATCAATGTTTTGGTGGTCTTAACTATTGAAAAAAAGTTTCTAGTGTTGTTTTAAGAATACTTCTGCTATTTAAGTTAGTTTTTGTCTGAATGTTCTACTAGAGTTTTAAGACAATTCTGTGCTATCTCTACTATGAACCACTATCGTGGTTTATGATAAGAAGTTAATAAAACAGATTTCCTTTGTTCCAGCTATTACTATAAGAGGTTAAGAAAGTAGTTTTCGTTTTTTTCTAACTACTGCCATAAAAGTTTAAAAAAGCATACTTCCCTTGTTCCAGCTGCTAACATAAAAGGTTAAGAAAGCAGTTTCTTTTTGTTCCAGCTATTACTATAAGAGGTTAGGAAAGTAGTTTTCCTGTTTTCAGATAATACAATAAGAAGTTTGGAAAACTTTTTCTTCGTTGCTGGTATTAATTAAATGGTTCGCAAAGAGTTGTTTAATTGTTTTAGGTATTCCCACCAGAGGTTAACAAAACATTTTGTTGCTCAACCTAGAGATAACATTGTTTCGTAAACTTTTTTTCCAAAGTCACTAAATGCAATAAAAAAGTTTCTTTAGATGGTTTCCATAATTATTTTTTTCCCTTCAAAATGGGGCTAATTGTGATAAGTACACTGGTGACAGAGATAACGACACTCTAATCATATTTCATGATCGTCAAGACAGTAATTCTAACTCAAAATTAGTCAATGTTTTTAAATGCTTTACATATTTTCAGTGAGCCCAAACCCAAATTTTGGAAAGTTGTGGGTTTAACTTTAGTCTTATGAAACGCCCTCCATAAAGACAGTGCTTATTGGTGATATTAAAGGTCTCACATTTAACTTCTGCTTTGTTTAACTCTCTCTATAGCAAGTGTGCTAATTGATTATACTACAAATTGTAGGTTTAACTTGTACCTTGTTCTACTCCTTCTGTAAAGAGCGTGCTTATTGGTTGTATTACACATCCTGGCTGATGATCTCCACCATTAGGGTAAAAGTCAATATGCCCAATAGCTTCTGTAGTGCCTAGGCCTAGAAATAGATAAATATATTTCAAAACATGAACTTTCGTCAATTAGAAGTTGATATGATCAGCAGTTTTTACAACATCAAGATATTGAAATACATGAAAATATAATATACCTTAAACCTTATAAGTTAGTGAAGAAATCCGCTCAGCTATTGCTTACACCATTTCGAGAATGAGGTATAAATATTATAATTATAATTATCTCCATTCTTAACTATTGACAGATAGTCAACAACTAACAATAAAAAATATGCTAGAAGTCGATATGGTCTATTGCATTCACAATATAAAAACCTTGAAATAATTAAAGAAATAATAAACATAAGCTTTAATTCTAAAATTTTGTTTGTTTGAAGTTAAGCACAAAGCTACACAATGGGCTATCTGTGCACTGCTCACCACGGGTATCGAAACCCGAATTCTAGCGTTGTAAATCTGCAAATATTCCGCTGTGTCACTGGGGGGGGGGGCTAATTTTGAAATAAAATTCTATACTTTTCACGATGCTCAGACCTAAAAAATAATAGAATATATTACAAAATGTCAGTATTCATCGTTAGAATATACAAACAGACTCTCGTAAGTTGGCATGATCTGAAAAAATAGAGGACAAATTAAATAATGTCTGTAAAATAACAGTTGTAGAGAGTCCAGACTTTTTCTACTTGGGTGTTTGCTCTTGGCAGTGATGTTTTAGAGCCAATGCTTACTGCAGCACGAATTATTTTTTAATCTCAATTCTAGACCTGGTGATTAATTTCAATTTTTCCAATTATAGTCCTTAGGTTTTGATAGGTTTAGTCTCGAAAGTTGACACTCTGGTGATGATGGTAGCTATCGTCACTGCCACTTCATTCTTGGTGTGGTGGTAGTCACCATTGCCACTGGAGAGGCACTTGCTGGCTGACCTCCCAATTTCTTTGTAGATTTCAACTCACTCTGGTTTTAGGAACTTGGTGCCCCCCACCAAAGGTAAAGGCACATTGGGTGGCAGTATTTTCTCCACGACACACCCTCTGATGTGGCATTTAAAGACTTTTCCCACTGCTCTGTCTTCACTTTGGTCTTAGTTTTAGAATTAGATGAACTGTTTCTGGTAGTAGGCTGTGCATCGAGGGTCTGCAGTAGGCTTTGATTGTTCTGAAGATTTTTTGGCTCTCCTGTCTGTGGCTTCAGTGTGTGCCAATATATCTGATGTATCTCCGTCCATTGGTTCTTCGAAGGGAGAAGCAATGTCAGCCCTTGGGGTCATTACAAAAATAGGATACTACAGAACATCTTAAAAATACCAAAAAGAAAACTCTCAATATAATTATTCTCCATCTTAAATACACATAATATATTTTAATGCAATCTTGAGAATAACAATTCAGAAGTGGCTAATTGAAAGAAGGATTTAAAAAAATATATTTGTAAATTGGAAAACCCACAATTGAAAATGTAGGATGAAATAAACTTCAGTTAACCACAAAAAAGGTCAAAACTGAAGGTGAAAAGTGTAAGTGCACAGTTACAACAGTTCTCTGCCCTAAAACATTCTGTTGGAGCATAGGGTCAAAATTATTGATATGGTCACGTGACAAGTTTATACGTTTAAGTATAATCGTCTGTATTCTGCCAATAGAACATATATCCCTACTACCTGTAGATAGCTTAGTCCAAACAGGCATCCGTGGTTCTCGCAATTGAACTATGTGTAGATGTGTCCTCCATGGTGTTTATCATCCTAACAATGGCTCACAGCTATCCTGGAAACCAGAAACATTCCTTACACTACCATCTGGCTGTAATAAAAACAGAGCCTGGGTCCATTAGGAAAGAATTAGGGAATAGACTGCAGAGTTGTGTAATCTTACTAGTAACTAAAATAAGTCGGCAGGCACTAACCTAGGTTTTCTGACCACGTTGAGTCATTAATATCAACACCTTATATCATTTCTGAATCCTTTCTGATACAACTTTAGCACTGTGAAAGACACCTACATAGCAACATTATATGAATAAATTAGTAGTATTAATGCTGCTTACTCTTCAAGTTCCTATGTAAATATAGGATCATTGTGTGAGTAAAAACACTTTTCAAAACAAAATAAATGTAATATAAACTCTACCACTATATGAATCCTGATCTTATTAATTGGATTTGCTCTTTTTCAGGGTGATGATGGGTAGAATCTCCCGAAACTGGTATAACTCAACGACAAGTGGTAAATTAAATAATAGAGAGGGCTTTACATTTATTTTCTAAATACCGTAAACAAATCTTGGTTTTACAAGAAGTTGGTCTTCTTTTTTAATTCTGTTCAAACACATTTTGGATATCATGTAAAACTTATTTTTTTTTCGTTTTAGGTCGATAACAATTAGGGAAATAAGTCGTTTCCTCGTTTTTTCTATTTTTTAAGGCGAAATTTACTGCTACGAGGCACCATTGGTTATAAAGAACAACAGTCGCCTCTTGGTTAGACTTTAATATTACGTCACTTTCTTCTGCTTTGAGAGTGACACAAGCCGAGTAACGAGAAGTCTCATTCCTGACATGATAGCAGGGATTTCCTTGGCTTGTTTTGGAGCAAGAAGTTTAGAACATATAGTGAGGATCTAAAATCAGCCTGAGCTGGGATATAGTGATGATCTAAAATCAGCCTGAACTGGGTTATGCTATAGGTTCCAAAATCAGTTACACATCATGCTGCTGCTCTTCCCATGTCAAAAGCTAATACAACTACTTTGAACATTTCAACATTCCAACCACCATTATCTTGTTGTTATCTGAATAGAACCAGTAGGAAATAAAACACTAAATATTCGGTCCTACACAAGAATCTGAAACAGGCTAGCCTCTGTAAAAGTGACAAAATTTAATTTCTGACTATGCGAATCCATTATCACAGATATCTCATTTCCAATCAGACTAGAAGTAAGAACCATACATGCACAGTTTGCATTTTAATGACATATACAGAACTAATATTAAAGAAACAATGATAAAACTGTGTCCTTTTAACAGTATTATATTTTACATAATTTCAATTACTCTCTACCAATTCAATTCAACCTACTGTTGAATTATCATTCCACCATCGAACATTACTTGATAGTTTGAAAAGCAAGTTTTGCAACGTCCTATCAGGCAAGTTTTAAAGCTTCTAGCGAACATTTTCAGATTTTTAAGGTGCCATTTGTTTAGGTATTACACCTACTAGCACCAGCCATCGTAAACTGTGTGATAATCAAGCAGTTATCCTCCAATATCCTGTCGATATCTCCTGAGGTGAAATAGCTTGGAAATTAAAAAGCTACACTCCATTTCAGTCATTGATTAGTATCCATGGCTCTATTAACTACTAATAATCGAGTTGTAATTACAAAATGCAGTCCATACATTTTATAGGAAACATCACCTCATAGCTCTGTTGAAAACCATTTCATTCATTGGTTTCTAGACATAGTTGCTACCATAGTGGGTAGTTCATCACAGTCATAGCCACTAGGGGTCTCTGACAATCATTGCAGATGAGATCTGCCCCTCCTTATCCAACCTCTTGGTTGAATAAAGCATTACCAGAGAAATTCACCATCAGGCATAGAACTGTTTTTCTCCGAATCTGTTCATTCCAGAGTGTGAACTGTGTGAAATGTTAAAATATTAGAGGAAAGATACGTTTCATCTACACAACAGTTACCCACGTTTTGTAATAAGCCTTTCCCTGACTAACTCTCGACCACTCTTGATTTAACCATCGCATACATGGATGTGGTAGAGTTGGCTGTTTCCAAGACCCTTAACTCGAATAAGTGTTTGATCCCAACAATTGGGTCGCATTGTTATGAGTTACTCAAATACTGGAGGTAGCTCACCTATCAACACTTCACAAACCCAGTTCACTCCATGATCCGTAACTACTCTGGAAAGATAACTATGGTTATTGAAAGGTTCAACAGTGCCCCACAGATCACCACCTTTACCATTTAGCACCTACTATCTCATGTGCTGGTGAGCTAGCTCCTGTTTATACACGTTCTCTGACTTATGTACAATGTCATTTTGCTCAAGTTTGAATCCTAGACTCAATCACCAGAAATCACCAGATTATGCAATAAAAGTATCTGCGGTTATGGCACCAAAGTTTTTCCTTCTACCTGTTCTGTGGTATTCTCAGATTAACTGATTTTTCTCAGAGTAAACAGGTATGATCTACAAAAACAGCAGATACATCAAATACTATTTGTCAGTTTTATGTATTGGCCAGATTCTTTACATTAGGTATCTGTGGCCTGTTGACGATAAATTTCTACAATAAATATACAGTACACAATTCACTTACTTTAAAAAAATAAAACAAGTCAAAAGTATGCACAAATGTTTGTTACACTGTTGGTTACCACAGTTGTATCCAGAACTTTAAATAATTGTCTCTTTTTCGTCAAAGTCTACACAGATTGATTCATTTACTTAAGAACACAATTGATAATACGAATTATTCTTCTCTACTCTGCTACTACAATACAGTCTGAGATAATTTCACATTAAAAATCGCCACTAAACGCTCTTTATGGCTAAACTAACAATCATGCAGTCTATATCTATCTGTCTATATCGAACTACATTTTTCGTACATATTTATACCCCGAAAGAGGTCTAGAATGTTCCACATAGTACTAGATGCAATAAGAAAAACAATGAGAAAAACTCAGAAGGTTCTAGTAATAGGATGCAATAATATAACAATCGCCAATTCATAACTATTGAACCACACAACATATGATTCGTAACAGTTACGTAATAAACTTGTGATAAACTATCGTTTCTAAAAATAACTAAAATTAACACTTGCGCAAATAAATTATCTAAATCGTAACTCTCACATTAAACTTAAACATAAATATTTGTGTATACCTATCATTATTAATACTCTGACTTTCCCTAGCTTTGAATTGTGTTTGACTCAAAGAAAAAGACTGCACAACAAACTGAGCAATTTGGAAATCTTTATTGACAAACATAAAGAAGAGAGATATATACCTTTAACAAGTTCTGGCAAGCTATGTAAACAAAATGTTACCAATTTCTCCTTTAAGTACTACAATTCTACAATTTGAAAAATAGAACAAAAACGTATCTACTGAAATCTAGCTATACCTACTAACAAATATTATTTTAAGTGAAAAAAGAAACTAAGAAACAAGGGCTTGAACCCAGAACCTTTGGCTAGCGGGGCCATTGCTCTACCATATGAACTATCTAAATGCACAATAATATTACAGCATAAAGCTTTCATGTCCAAAGCACATCACTCATTCCAGAATGCCCTTCTTAACCCCTCTGGTGTAGGAAGATAACAGTTTCTTAACACATGTTTCAACAGTTTGATCACAAAGAAATCCATAGATACTGAATCAGGTGACCTGAAAGTTATGTGTATGCAAGAAATAGCATTAATGTCAGTTTTATTATCAAATTGCTGGAGGTGTGTCACATTTGAAGAGGAAATGTGACTGGACGCCTTACTTGATGCACTGTTGGCCTGTTGGGCTAATTTCAAGGTGGAGATCCTTTTTCATTATGTGTGGAGCAAATGGGCAGCTTTTGCCACTGACCTTTGTTGTCATAGGTTATTACCTGTTACAAGACTTACCACTACTGGGATACAACTTGTTGCAAGTCCCTTTCTGGATGACCTTATTGCGCCAACTTGCTCTTTGTGGCTAAAAGTCATTAATGATTACTTTTAGTTTAGTGTCACATATTTATAAGTTAAAGATTCATAAATTACACGACTTTTGCCATTTTTATCAGAGTCTACCTTACTCCTTTAGTCATTTCATTCTTGTTTTTACTTAAACAGAACGTTGTCTGTGTATATAGCTAGATTAGAGCTTTAGTTATTTCATACTAGTTTTTACTTACCTACAATGCTGTCTGTATGTATAACGTCGACAAAGTCTGCATCTCCTCGGTCAAGGCGAACTTTTTTTGCCATGTTCGTAAAGTAAGGGCCTGGTGGATCCAGTGCTTAAAATAAAAACAAATCATTAGCTAGCTTTCGTTTACTTTAAAACTAATATCACCTGTGAAATATTTACTTTAAAATTTACTTTAAATAAGATTACACTGAACATTTATAGTGTAGCATCTCTAACATACAAATAAAAACTAAGATTACACTGAACATTTATAGTGTAGCATCTCTAACAAACAAATAAAAACTAAGATTACACTGAACTCCCTAACATACAAATAAAAATTAAGATTACACTGAACATTTGTAGTGTAGCATCTCTAACATACAAATAAAAACTAAGATTATACTGAATATTTATAGTGTTGCATCCTTAGTTTTTAATTGTATGTTAGGGATGCTACACTATAAATGTTCAGTGTAATCTTAGTCCCTAACATACAAATAAAAATTAAGATTACACTGAACATTTGTAGTGTAGCATCTCTAACATACAAATAAAAACTAAGATTATACTGAATATTTATAGTGTTGCATCCTTTTGCTACACTATAAATGTTCAGTGTAATTCTTAATTTTTATTTGTATGTTAGAGATGCTACACTATAAATGTTCAGTGTAATCTTAGTTTTTATTTGTATGTTAGAGATGCTACACTATAAATGTTCAGTGTAATCTTAGTTTTTATTTGTATGTTAGAGATGCTACACTATAAATGTTCAATGTAATCTTAGTTTTTAATTGTATGTTAGGGATGCTACACTATAAATGTTCAGTGTAATGTTAGTTTT